CGTAGGGATTGCGGTTGCGGGGCTTGCTGCGTCGGCAAACTTCGCAAGCCGTGCAATAGTGCGGTTGACTCCGAAATGGCCGGCGAGTCGTGAATCATGATACTCGCCGAGGAGTCGAGTCCGAAGACGACGGTCGCGTGGGACACATAGTAAGTCCTTGCCTCTCGAGTGGAGGAGCAAGTACCCGTCGACAATGCGGTAATGGCTGGCCGGCGGGTGATCCAAAGATAGCTGTGCATAGAGCGTGCCGAAGTCCGGATCAGACTCATATGTCCGGATGAAGTGTCGCTGAAGCTCCTCGTCGATAGCAAAGGCATGATGTGTCATAGCGCAAAGATCTGGTCTTCGCGAGAGTGCATCTGCTGCGCGATTTGAGAGGCCGGGTAGATGTTTCGGTGTGAGGTCAAACTGGTCGATGAAGTACATCCATCGTCCGATCGTGCTGCTCACCGTATCCTACGTCTTGTAGTAGGTCACTGGATTGTTGTCCGTAACCCATGTGAACCTACGATGCCCAAGGAGGAAGGGCCACCATTGCTTGAGAGCCATGACGAACGCGAGTAGCTCCTTCTTTCTTGCATCATCCAGCGAGTTGATGGGAGGCACTCTGTGGCTGAAATACTCCACAGGGTGCCAGTCGTCGTCGTCGTGCTGTTCCAAGATAGCCCCAATGCCATAGCCGGAAGCGTCCGTAGTCACTCTCGTCGGCAAGGTGGGGTCATAGATGCTGAGGACGGGTGCCATGAGCATGGCCGTCTTAAGTGCTTGGAATGACCGGCGTGCGTCGTCATCGAATACGAATGGCACCTTTGGCGACTGTAACCTTGCCATAGGTGCAGCAATCCTGGAGTATCCGGTGATGAATCGCTGATAGTAGCCCGCCAATCCCATGAATGAACGAACGTCTGTGGTGTTGGTGGGCTCGGGCCATACTCGTAGGGCCTCGATCTTGTCCGCGAGCGGACAAATGCCTTCCGGCGTCACATAATGGCCCAAGTACTCCAGCTCCTGCCGCACTAATTCACACTTGTCGCGGTTGGCTTTGTACTTGGCCTGTCGTAGTCGCTCCAAAACGGTGTGCAGGTGTTCCACATGCTCCTCCAAACTTCGGCTGTATATCAAGATGTCGTCGAGATAGATAAGTACGTATCGATCCAGCATGTGTCGGAACTCCGTTGTCATAGC